CGTTAAAATTTCGTCGGAACGAAGTTACGGAAAAATCAATTAACAAACAGAGACGTAACAATAACATCGTTTACACTAGAATTATGATTTTTTTAAATTACTGCTAGTTAATAATACATATAAAAGCAGAAACTTTTTTTGAAACTATGTACCATTCTTTTGTTTTTTGAATTATCGTATAATAAACACCAAGGAGAATTTTGAAAGAAGAGCAAGAAATTCAAAGTTTTTGCTATGATACTTACAGACATTCTCAGAACTTGTGACTCATTCATTATATATACATATTGTTATAAAAGGAAACACTGGATAGTATTGTAAAGCTCTGATAACCTGTTGAGGAGATATTTGAAATACCATTTTGATGAACAATCTGAGCCATCCTTACATAGGCAGTGCTACTGCCTGCCTGATATGCATATCATTTATATAATTATTACTTGCTTTATACCATATCTAGGCCTAGACCTAGACTAGTGTTTTCAACAATAAAACTTTACTGGTGCCCTATGGTGATAGATATAGGTTTTAGCAATATTCATGGAGAGTTAAAAGTTGGAAGATAGAATAATACTTTACATGTGGTATCATTACTACAGCAGAAGTTCCTTAATTTAGAGTTCTGTGCAATCCAAACTCTAGTTTTAGGTCTAAATCTAAAACAAATTATTACATGTACTTTTTTTGATTGCTTGTATTTGTTAAAACTGTATGTAAATGAATGCATGCTTACACACACACATGCTGTCTTCAGGAAAGGAGTAAAATAAATGGTGCATAAAGGATGGGTTCATTTGGTAGTTTAACTCTTTCCATAGGGGAATTCTTTTCTCTGCTTGTCAGAAGGTTTTACTGAGTTACATTTAAAATTTAATTAAACTACTTTATTATCAAGGTATACAAATAAACTTGGCATCAAAACATAGCTAATGATCCCCATTTCAATATACGTTTTAATTTTCTAAGGCAGCATTAAAAGAAAATCCTCAATTTCCCTTAGTATGAGAATTGTGACATTTGCCTGTTAGGTACTCCCTCTTCTAATTTATAAATCCCCCACCCTGAGAAGTACAAAATTTAATGTAAATTACCCATTATAACATTGTTATTACTCAGGCAAAGAATAATTTTTATAGCCTTCAATCTTATTTGAGTACAATGCCATAAACTAGAAAATCAAACCCCTCCTCCCACACCCACCCATCACATCCTCTTTTACAAGTTGACAATAGGTTTTTCTGATGTTTAACCCTAAACAACCAGTTGAGGTAATAGTGACTCTTAAAACTGGGCAAACTTACATGCTGAGGAAACACTGTTATACACTTCTTATAACCATGAAGTTGAGTAAAAAAACAAAAATATGATGTAACCTTTGAAAGTACACTTTCAGTCATATATATGTCATATGCATAATTAATGCAGCAGGGATAAACAACATAGACTGTTTTAACACCATAACTTTAATTAGGAATGATAATAACGTGAAAATTTAAACACTCACTCTTTGTGAACATCCTCACAGATTGAATTAAAAACTTTTTAAATTTTCTGCAACATTAACGCGCTATGGGCAATTGATTTTAATTAATGCATTTGTTAGTAGTAATTAGATTCATAACAAGACAATTGGTAAAGATTTTCGAATTTTATACCGAAGAGTGTAATATTAACAAGTGTGCTAAATTTCATGCTGATATTGGCTTTAATGGTGAAGTGGAAGTGGAATTATAACAAACTAGACTTTTATTTTCAATCACTCACTACAGGTTAATTAGTAAAAATTTTAAAACAAAAATGAGTTATTTATTATGAAATATTGGGGGTGCTCTTTAATGGTCAGTGCTACCTTAAACCTGTGTACTAAACTTACCATGTTGGAATTCTAAGGCTAATAATATATTATTAATAACAACACATAGAAAGCCAAAGTTTTCATCTGTCAAATGATGTATTGTATTATGTTGTTTTCTGTATAGAGAAGTGTCAATTTTGCTTTCAGTTCAAGCTTGATTTGATGACAAGGAAACCACTTTGAGACTAATAATGTTTGGAAACAGCTTGAATGGGTAATGAAGAAAAACTTTAATATAAGTTTAACATAACAGCAAATGTACAACTTTTCGACAAGGTTTTGTCATCATCATAACAAAACCTTGTTGAAACATTGTACATTTGCTGTGATGTTAAACTTGTATTAAAGTTTTTCTTAGCTTAACTTGTAACAGCTCTTGTTGCATAGTTAGAAAGCCAGAAGTATTGTGATAGTTATAAGACATTGTTTGATTTTTAGGTGTTATTATTCTGTGATCTTTGGGCATTATTTGTACATTTGCTGTTATGTTAAACTTGTATTAAAGTTTTTCTTAGCTGAATTTGTAACAGCTCTTGTTGCATAGTTAGAAAGCCAGAAATGTTGTGTTAGTTGTAAGACATTGTTTAATTTTTAGATGTTATTATTCTGTTATATATGGTGCATTACTTAATTAATATAAAATTATTTAGTGCAGTAGTATCATCAGTATAAAAAAGTAGGGTGAACTTTTATCGACAGCAAAAAAAAAAAAGACCCAGGTAAGTACTATATTTCTTGTATTTCATATGTATTCTTTATTTATTATTATAAAAGTAACTAAAATGTAGAAATGAGAAACTTTTTAGGTTAGATTAGATAAAATAGAGAAGAAGAAAAAAGTCCATGAGGCACACTTGCGAGCAACCCGTGAGTAGGCCGTGCATTACATAATTTGATAGAGTAACATGAGCTACATGTTTGTCAAGTGATTTAAAACTTATATGGCATGAATTAGTTAGACATGATTCAAAGGGCAATAAAATTTAAGTATAAACAGATATATACTGTTACGTGTTTAAAGCTGTTTAGGATAAACAAGTGTAATTTTGTGTTTCAATTTGAAGTCATTCTAGAAAGAAAAAAAGGGAAAATTTAGATTTATTTCATATTTTTTTGATGGTGGTTATAACGTCAGTCAAATTTACCGACCTTGTATAGAGTTAGGGTAGAGAAAATAACAAATAAAATATAAAGTATTACTGAAAAAAAAAACGTTTGAAATTTACTTTGGAGGCAAATTAAATATGACAATTTTCAGATGAAGAAAAGTATTTGTAATATTAACATGAAAATCACTTTGCACTCGGAGCAGTCAAGACTTTGACTCCTACTATCCACTGAGAAATTTTTAGTGGAAATACTTTAGCCAAAATTATGCATCTGACCATGATCCAGTGAGGTAGTGGTTTTGCCTTAGGAATCAGAAAATAATCCACTCTTCAGTGCGTAGGAAAAATTAAAAAAAGGTCAATGTTCAGAATGATACAATCAAAATGGAGTAACACGTTTTAGAAAACAGTTCTGACCTTGTAAATCTATAAAATGGTTCTTGTAGATTTTATTACCTCTTCCTAGGCACTAACTATCAACAATTACTACTCACTAAAAGGTGTATCCTCCTCACTTTTTGTAAATCATAATTTTCTGAGTTAATAAGATGAGCAACAAGTATTTTAAAAATATTTATATTATATTGTTTTTCAGCTGATGGGAGACCCACATTCACATCTAGTTCTGTTCATCTGGAAGAAATGTGGAAGTTTTATCTACAGGTATATTTAATAACATTGATTGAAGTTATTTGTTATATATGCCTTGTTAGGGTGAGCTATTAACAGGCATTCTAAACAGTGAATGGTTAAAGTATTGCATACAAACAATGATACATTAAAAAACAGTGCTCATATGGATACCCACAGAAGCAGCAGAGGCTGTGCACTCAGCAGAGCACCTTGATTATCCAGCAGAAGGAGAAAGATAGGGAAACATAAATGAAGTGTGTACAGCATACAACCAGAAGGCCATTGGTAACATCAGTAAAAGAACTCTCCTCTACCAACTACAAGGCATCCAGCCTTTGCTTGAAGGGTGAATGACTGTTGGCACAACCCCTAGGATTTTCATATAGTGTTCATTTCAATTTAGCTACTTAAAATATAAACAAGCAGGGAAACCATTAAAATTAATTAATTACTTTTAAGTAGCAAAAGAAAAAAAATTATATTCGATTTTTTGAAGACTTGTAATGATGAAGTGCTTCTGATGCAATAGATGTGATAACTAAACAATTTGCTATACACGGGCTGTCTAAGAAAGGGAGCTGTACAGCAAATAGAATGCAAAGATGAAAATATTCTAAGTTTTTGAACAACATGTTTGTGGTTTTGTTAGATTCAAAAGTGTGGAAGTTGTAAAATAAAAATACGGTGAATTGAATTTACAGTCCATCAATTTTTAAATGTTTTCAAATTTTTTGAGATAGAAATAAGCAACAATCATGTACAAGACCACAGATTTGTAGCTTTGTTTCATATGTTGAAAAGCTTTATCAATGCAGGTTGGAAGTTTAATATTTCTACTCCATAAAGAAAATTACATTTAAGATGCAGAGTTCTAAATTAGGGATAGGAGTTTGGATTTTTTTCAGTTACTTTATCAGAAACAAATGTTAATAAATTTACACCAAAACAAAATTCTAAATCTGAACATTTTAATTATAGTTGTTTTTTTTGTGTGTGGATGTTTTGGGGGAAAGATCAGACAGAAGTTTTTTAAACTTGTTGCTGTTATTTACCTTAGAAAAAATAAGATACCAGACTAGAGGGGTTAAAATAATATACTTGAAAGCAGTAACCAGACTGATACCATAAGTTTATGTTTAATAGTAGTCTTAATGTTTAGCATAAGAATGTAAAATATGGCAACCAGTATGCTCATGTTTGGTACCAGATTCAATTTTAAGGCCTTTTTCTGAGATCAATTATGCTCATTTGCTGGAAACTTATAGTAGTATTGGTATTATTTTATCATTTGTTGTGAATTCACCCGTATTTGTTTGTTAGTAAAAGTTTTTATTTTTCAGCCATTAACTTAAATAAGAGATATTTCTTTTAACTCTGTGATAATATTTTTGTAGCAGATTTGATGCTTTTATGAGTCCAAGTTAATGCTGTTTCTGTAAAGTAGAGCAAATAGGGTCATGAGAAAAAACTAAACTAACTTTGGGTCCTCTATCTGATGGATTGTGATGATGTTTGATTATCCAAAACATTTACCATTTTACCTTAAATAAAAAATAAATATACTGTAATAATATTTTTCAGTAGTGTGTAATTATTTTCAGTATGGTGGCTGTTACATAAAATAGGTCCACAGATATTCAGTAGTGCATTCTAGCCTTATTGAAAAAGAATGTGTAATTGAAAGACAGTTATGTGTAAATATGTCCTTTTAATTTGGAAGGCCAGAAGTGACCTTGAAGTGTTTTAAGATTTAGACTCATTATAAAGATAAATTTTTCCATTGGTGTGAAATGGCTTTTTTTCCTTGATCTAGTTCTGTCAAAAGCTGTATGAACTGAAGAAGATTGAAGATCTTCAGGAAGTAGCTTTTATGTCATTGACTTCCCCTTTGTTTAATAAAGATCCTGATAGAGCAAGGGTTAGTGCCAAGACTATAGCTAACAACTTTATATTAGAAGTGATACAGTATTTCATAAGATGAATGTTTATGCAAAAAAGTATATGTCAAAACTGTAAAATTAAATAATAATATACATCAAGATACAGAGTTTATTACTATTCTTGAAATTTCTAAAGAGGTGATATTTGTCATGTTCACTTTTCTTATGTAAAATAAAAAATAACTCATCAAATTATTCTTAAAAGTATCACAGAATGAATGATTATTGTTTTGACTAAAGAGAAAGTTTATGGAATAAACAGCTCATGAAAGAGGGATATGATATAAGGTTTTTATTAGTTTTCTGAGTTTTGTTCTGAACTCATATGTTGCTTGTGATATAGAGAACGAATTTGTGATATAGTTCATAAAAACGTTTTTCTAGGATACAGAGTTTATTGCTTTCCTGGCAAGTTTCTACAACAGAAGTATTGACTTTTCCTATATTCTTATTAAAGATCTTGTTGTTAGAGAAAAGGTAAGGTCATTCTGCTTTTGTTTTATATATAAAGTGTATTCCCATTCATCTGAAATTATCATTGTTTGAGCTGATACAGTCCACTAGAAATAAGCAAATGCTTTAAAAGTGTGTGACAAATACCAGGTATGTTTGATTGCTGTCAGATTTGGCTGGCTCAGTGTGAAAAGCAAAAAACAGTAAATTAATTTATATGGGTCATTCCATGTCAACTTCATCTTAATCTGTATTGCAATATGTTTCAAACAAAAGATCTTAGATTCAAAATATTTTACTATTGCACAAGAGTAAGCACACAAGTATTAACAAAGTCACAGCCTCCCAAAGAACGGGGAAAACTAATTTCAAAAATATTTGTAATGTATGTCTTTAACAGTTATTTTTATTTGAAATATTGCATATACCTGGCTGAAAGTTTTACCACGAGCTGTTGTGAATCAGGCGATTTTGAAATAATTGTCCTATTTACATGGAATATATAATATCAGTAGTTTGTCAAACTTTAAAGTATTTTTGTTTACAGCACCAAAATAATGCTAAATCTGACTTAATTTCTGTGTCTGGCCTGCATCTTCTAGATTTTTAAAGGTATAATTTCTTTACTTGTAGATACGGTATCAAGTTAGCTAGCTGCTCAGTATATGTGTTTGGTCGAAGCAGTAAAGTTATATAATTTATAATCGTTCAGTTCATATTAGTGTCAAATACATTTTGGCTAGTTAGACAACCTAAGTATGGCACATTATTGAAAGGTTTTCAAAATTCTCACCCCACTCCTAAACCTCTACTTCTGGTGACCAGATATCTCAACTTGACAGACTCTGGCCTTTTTTGTCACTTAAACAAACAATGAAATGGAAGAATCTTGCAACAGACTTTCTAAAGAATATGTAATGTAGTCATGGTTTACAGAGGCCTTTAAGTCATGACTTAACACAGAACAGCTATTTTCCTCTTAAAGTTGTACTATTCTACCTTAGAGATTTGCATGCCACCAGCATTGTGAATCTTTCACCTAAAATTCCCATGAACAAATGTGAACTTATGCTACTGTGTATTGACATATCATGCAGCAAAACCCTTTATCAGTAGGAGTGCAACACACCTTCTTGTGCAAATGCTCCATCGACATTCACATGCGAAAATCCTCACTCTTTTTCTCAGTACACATGCTAAGATGCTTATTTTTGCTGAGACTTGTTGACGTAAATTATTTCAACAACTTTGTATTTTCAACCTTTCAGCATGAATTCACAGATTAATTTGAATTATTTTTCTGTTGATGTGAGTACAAATATCATAATTATCACAATTTAGGAAGTTCTTTGCCTGTTGAGATCATGACAGCCATTATGTATTGCAAAATGTGCCACTCAGGTTGAAATGTGCCAAATACAGTAAGAAGAAGAGTAACATAACATCATCCAATGTGTGGTGGGGTCCATGCTATGTGGACCTTCTTCTGTCCCTGCCACACATTTCACTTCACAGATTTTTGAAGCTGAAATTGAGGAGGACTAAATGAAACAATTTTTTCAACCCAATACTTCTCTACGTACTGAATACCTCTCAACTTTTTCCACCTTACATATGTCTTCTACCTGTTGTGTCGTTTCTTCTCCCTGACTTATTAATGCTACACCCAGGTTTAAATTTGCTGCTGCCATTTCATGCTTCATCCTTCCTGCCTTACCTTACTTGTAGAAGTTACTGTCTAGATACAGTTTATTCTTCCATAACTAATAGAACTAAATGTTTAGACATCATTTGTTACTCTTTAACATGTCCGCATATGGTGTATTGATTAGAACTAGTTCATTACTCCATAATTTATACTACATAGACTATAATGTTTAATCACAGTTACTTACTCCTTAATATATAGTATATTATGTTCAGTCATAGTTTATTTCTCTTTCACATGTACACATAGATTTTGATGATTGTTCATACTTACTTATTCCTTAACACTTAAACATGGGCTTTAATGTTTATTTACAGTTATTTCCTCTTTCACATATAACACATGGTTATTGATATTTTGTTCTATGTCCACACAGAAAGTAATGTTTAAATCTAGTTCATTACTTTTTCACATATATACGTGGAAGATATATAAGTGAAAAAATAGTTGTCCATTTATTAGAGTCTGTTCTTGGACAGTGGCATCATGTAATCGTGGACAACTGATATGCAAGTACTAGATTGGCACACTTTTTGAGGACTCAAAATATAACGATGATGGCAACAATTTGCACAAATAGAGGAGTACCAAAAGAGTTTGCTAATGAGCATCTGGAGCGTTATGACATGGCTTTCGTTCACAAAGACAATGCTCTGATAGTGAAATGGTAAGACTGAAGAGCAGTATATATGTGATAACCAAGAAACATTCAGCTGGTTTTGTTGAAAAGGATAAAACTTATTTTGGGGAGACCAGAAAATTTTACAAAAAACCATACCACATAGAAAAGTATAATGAATACATGGGAGGATAAAACAGATCAGTTGCTGGAGCCTTTTGACCCAAGTCGTAAATCCCATGCATGGTTCAAGAAGCTAGGCCTACACTTGCTGATGCATATGCTGCTAAATAGTTTTCTTGTTTACAAAAATACCATAAATGAAAAATTTACTTTCAAGTGGTATATCATAAAGGTCATACAGCAACTGGTGGAAATGCATAATTCAGAAGAAATTGTGATTCAAGAGTAAGTTATTACCAGTAATCCTTGTGCAGGTTGCAAGCAAAAGACTGAAAAAGGTGTCCATGCTTTAGTTCCTATTCCAACTTTGCCTGGTAGTTCAAATGTGCATCCAAAAAAGCAATGCAGAGTGTGTTATCCAAAATGGAAGGAAACAAGAACGTGTTGCAACAGATGCCCTGAAAAACCAGGCCTATGCAGTACAGAACACTTCAAAATATGGCATAATAAATAAGATTCTTCTAATTACGTAAGTTTACTTCAATAAATGTATATGTTGATATATTTTTAAAAGAGGATACGTAATATAAGTAATATGTTTATAAATATGCTTACAAAGACAAGACACAAAAATTAATGATTTTATTGGTAGGTAAGTAAAAGTCATATAGTCATATATAGTCATTTAACTTTGCTTGAGAAAGTTCATCTTTTTTCCCAATCAGGAATGTATGGTCCATCCATATTCCTTTAGTTATGACCAATGAACTTCATTTGACTTGCCTCATAACATGCTTCCAGAGTCTCTATTTGTGTTACTAAGTCCATAAAATATTCTCACAAGCTGTCTAATAACTTAATATTCATCCCCAATCGATATGATGGACTAAAATGCTGTTTTTACCAAAATGCTACATAGACATACATCACAAAAGTTTGCATGTAAACAATTCACATGGGGATAAAAAATAAAAATTATGCATACATTCGAAATAGATCATTTATCTGGTGTCACAGTTTGCACCTTTTTCAAAGAATTAGCTGATATTGTTTGATTTATAAACTAAATTACATTAGATGCTAATTTACCAATTTATAAAAAAAAACCAAGTTAATTGTGATTTTTTTAAATTCATGAACAGAAAATTCAAGTCAAATTAGGTCCATGTATTTTGTAATTTAGCTCACTTTTTATATCATGAAAATTCCCAAAGATCGTGCAGAATTCAAAGAGTCATCTAGTAATGGTGCTATATAACCAAACTTAATAATTATTCACACGAAAGTAATCGATAAAATGCAGATAACATTGGAAATAATTTAGGCCTGACCTTGAAGATATAACAAGGATACTTGGACAGTCACTGTGGCTTTTGATTATGATATCAACAATGAATCTTTCGAGATATGGCTTTACAGCTGGAAAAGTACACGAGGTGACGTGGCTGATATCAGGCCCAATACTGACACTGACATGCCAGTTCACAGGCCTAACATTTATACAGAAAATGGAATACCATCTAATTCTAATGTTAAATAAAGAAAAGTCTGCCACCCAAGTCAAGTCATTTAAACAGAGAAAGAATATGAACTTCATCACAAAGAGAAACAGTTTTTAAGTTCATGGAAAAATGGCAGGCCTTGGATTAGTGTCATTAGTGATGACAATACTATGTTTTGTACATACTGCAGAAAATTGAATAGCAGAATTCCAGTGTGTAAATTCTACATCTCAAAAGAAATGTAACAGTTATAATTAATCTGCACAAAAATAATTTATTATGAGGAATGATTAACTATTGCAGGTATCAGATATTCTCTTTGAAAGTTTCATGAAAAAAATTACCACACAATGACTTCTTACTTCTAGGCCTACATATAAGATTTTTTTGTAAAAGATGTAAGAGTAGGATGATTTCTAAAAGTTTATTATTATTGTCTAGTAAACTAACTTTATTTTTTAATTATCACTTTAGAGAATAAAGTGATGCCTAGTACATGTATTAAGATTCTGATGTACTTGTACGTATTAAAACAGGAAATTCCAGATTGTATAAACTCACAAAGTCACTGAAATTCATCAAAGATGTGAGGGAGTGGCTAAAGTAAAAGTTCTATAGTTTCAGCTGGTCCAATTGAGAAATTGGGTGACAAAGCAAATGAAGAGGAGGTTTGTAGCAGCCTTCAAGGTTGTTAAATGTGGGAAGCCATATACAGCTTATAAAACAGACAATACTGATGGGAAGAATCAGAGGAGGAGATATTTCCAGCAGGTATTCCAGTGACAAAAGATGTGCACAGTTTATCCAGTACATGGTTATTGACATGATGAAGACAAATGCTAATCGTGTGAAAGAAAGTGTTTTTTTTTTTGTCTTGTGTGATGGAAGTACTAACACATCAAGGTTAGAAGAGGAAATAGTGTACATGAGATATGTGATCCCAGAAGGGAAGGCAATAACAAAATTTTTATGTATTTCAAATGTACAAAAGCCTGATTCCAAACATACATATGAACATCTAGTGAAAGGCTTACAGAGCAATTTAAATCTTGACCAGTACTTGGATGGCTTAGTAGGTTTCTGGGCTAACAGAATGTCAATCAACTTTGGCGTAAGATCAGGTGTTTTCAAACTTTTTAAAAACAATATAAATGAAGAACTTGTAGGTATTCAATGCATGGGGTATTGTTTTGAGTTCTGCCAGATAGACAGAGCCAGCTATGTTAAACTTGTAGGTGAGGTATCTCAACCCCTGCAAAAAATATATCTGTTTTATAAGTTTTCATCTGTTCAGAGTTCAGGGCTTTTTGAGGCTTGCAAGGCACATGAGCTAACATTTTATAGCCTCATTAATGTCTGTGGAACAAGATGGAATTCTTACAGAAGCCATGCATTGAATGCAGTTGTCAGGATGTGGAAACCTCTGGTAGAGCACTGTGATTAGGTTAAGGTAGCCCAGGGAAGCTACAGGCCTACAATACTTGGGAAAAGTACCAAAATAATGAAAGACTTAACTTCTGTGAAATACCTTTTTTCAATACTTGTACTGAGGGATGTTTTTGACATATTAATTAACATTAGTCTTACCTTACAAGACAACTCTTTTGTAATGTGTGATGTTTTTTCTAAAATTTTAGCCACTGTAGATCATTTGATGTTGAAGGGAAGTTGAAAGCAGTTAAGAATCACCCTGATTTTCAACTTGAAAATTTGAAATTTAAGGGAAAGCAGTTACAACTTGACAGAGGGCACAACTATGAAAATGCATTTAAAGATGTCCAAAAGCAGCTTACCCAGTTTATTACATCTGCTGTAGATGCAATTCCAAACAAACAAACAAGCAATAGAAAATAATTGTTTTTAGTAAGATATTAGTGAGGAAAGTAGTGCTGTTTCAAACTGGCATCTGTGATTAACCCAAAAGTTGGCCTAAAAATAAAGATATTTTTGTACTAGATGAAATTGAACAGTCAACATCACATTTTTCTGGAACACTTGAAAGTAATGGTTACAAAATTATTCTCCTCCAGCTAGAATGGTGCCAGTTATTCATATATGCAAAGGATATATGATTTAAGGAGAAAAAGAAATTAACCAATGATTTTTTCCAAGATAATTACAATCAAAGTCTGAGAACTTTTCAAACATTTGTGCCTTGTTGAAAATTTTGATGATGTTACCTGTTTCCACTGTTGAAGCCGAATGTAGTTTCTCAGTTATGAAAAAAGGGTGAGAACAGATTGACGTGCTAGGCTAAAGCTGATGCTTTATCTAACTTGATTTGTGTAAAAATGAGTCAATATGACATAGATTCTTTTGATGCACAAAGTTCTGTGTTGAGGTGGTTATCTGATGTTAGATACCACTCTGAAGGAGTCAAGTATAAACATAAAGGTAGAAGTAACTCTAATAAGGTAAATGTGTCAGTGGTTGAACTTTCAGAAACTGAAACAAACAGTTATTTCTCTGATGATGGTAGTATAAGTGATAAAGTCTCACATTTAGGTTTACATGTTTCAGTACTGACCAACTGTTCAGTTGTACTTCCTTGTTTGTTTGTTTAGAGAAAATTAGAATAATCCATTGTTCATTGTCTTTTATTTATGTTATTTGGGGTTTTATTACTATTTTTAAGCCCATGTTTTAATTTTAAAAGGGTATTTCATACATTACCAGTCTTCAGTCATTAACCTATGCCTTCAATATATTGTAAGTATTTGCATGGCAGCCTTGACCTTGAAATTATTATACAAGTATCCTTTGCTTGATAAATTAATTGGTACAAAATATTATCAAAGTAAAGTTTCTGAAAACAAAAAAAAAAAGACTTTTTTCCATTTTTATTTGATATTTCATCAAGATCATTTTATTTGCAATCTTTCAAGAATAAACTTATTTAAGCTATCATGAACATTTCCTGTGATCTAAGGTCAATTTGTGAACATAATGCATGGGTTAAAAAAAAATATATAGAAATTCATGAGGAAATGCAATTTTACCTGAGGGAATGTAATTTTATTTCATTATATCTATCCCTGCAGTATATCTGCTGTATCAAATCTCTATGATGCTTTTTGCCCAATACCAGGGCTCATCAGGCCAGTTGGGATACAGTAGACATAGTAGTGGTCAAGACACTATTCATATCATCAGTTACTTGATCAACAACTGTTTCAGTGTGAACTGTGATTTTTATTAGTTTTAATTAAGTCATTACAAATCAGAATTAGGTTTATGATTTGTATTAACATCAAGTTGTTTTTTTGATAGATTGTTTAGGCAGAATATTCATGATGAGTACACCGGAATGAACGGCAACTGTGTTTTTTTCTAGAACAGGCAATTGCTGCCCATTCCTATGTATTCATCATTAAATTACTTATCATCAATTTTTTTTTTTTTTGCTTGAATTAAACTCAAAATAACTGGTAACTAGTAATTTCAAATGACACTCAATAATATGGATACATTTCATCACTTATGTTCTGGGATAATATGCTTTTATTTCATTGCTGGGTCTGTCTTTCACTAGTGGAAACTACTGTAGTCAGTACTGTGTATAAAGAATACAAAACTTTATGTCAAAATACAGGCTTGACCAAGTCTTGCTTTGTGCTGTTATTTGGTCTGCAACTAAATGTACAAATGTTATTTATGAAAAAAAAAAATTATTTGAGATTTTTGGAGCATACTGTATATGTAAATCTAGAGATATACTTTTTAGGTGCAAGGCTTGAAAAAATTTTAGTTATATTTTTATTGACCTGCTTTTATTGTACCAAATTGATGTTGAATCTGTCAAATTGATATTTATACAAAGAAATTTTGTTGTTGTTGTTGTTGTAGTTTATCCACAATGTTGCAGCTTGGAATCTCTTCTGTCAAGTGGTAATACTTGGGCAAGACATCCGGCACAATAGATTTTGTCTCAGACTATTTTTTAAGGTATTGAAGTAGTATTAAAAATATATTAATTGGTATTATGTTTCTTCTTAGATACTGTATTAATATATGCAGGGCCTCTGGTTAAATGAGATTACATGGCCATGGCACTTTTTGCATAATTTATATATGAATGTATTATCAATGGTTGACTTCATAATCAGTCTGAATTTTTAGTTACATTTAGTCTGATGAATGGCCTGTCACAAGACTTCTAATGTCTAAAAGTGTTTTTGTTGTTATTACTCCTTAAAAAAATTTAAGTTTTAAATTACTGTTGATGGTGTAATTTCATTAATTATGTGTAATATCCACTTAAATGTTAATAATGGCTGGAGATGGCTTGAATGGGTAATGAAGAAAAACTTTAATATAAGTTTAACATAACAGCAGATGTACAAAGTTTCGACAAGGTTTTGTCATCATCAGTTAAATGTTATTGCTTTAAGATGTTTTTACTTTATGCAAGAGTTGAATAATTTTAGTCTGCTGCATAATCAGTGCATATTTTTTTTTCTTCTGCATAATGAGTAACTTTATGTTGTATAGTTTAAAACTGTCTACCACATAAAAATCAGGGGTCTATATATGAAAGAAATATTTCAGTTTTTTTTAAGTACTATATAGTATATCCATCTATACAACAGGTTATGTTTTAGGCTCATGATCAAAAATGTTTATAGTGTTTTGCTATTGTAGAGTTTGTACATAACCTAAACTATTATATTGATAGGCTAAACTCTCTCATATTGTATATGATTGCTTGTCTCAGTTTTCTAGGGTTATATAATTCTAAACAAAAATATTACAATTGCTTTTACTGTTACTTGCCACTAAGTGAGTTATTTGGCAACCTGCAATTATTAGAAAAATTTCTATTCAAAAACTTAATATGTTACAGTATTCATCATCTCTTAATTTTTGAAATGTTAAATGAGTTTGAGAAAACTTTCTTTTTGTGATGAGTTTAGTTGGCTAATCTAAGAAAAACTTAATTAAGCCTATCTCATTGTAATAGATTATTCAAGTTCTTGTATTTTATTGTTCTAGCCTCAGCCATATTAATTTATCTGGGTTTGTATTGTGATAGCAGTAAGATTAGTTAGTGTTTTGGGCCTGGCATAGCCAGGTGGTTAAAATGCTTGACTTGCAATATGCAGGTCGTGGGTTTGAATCTCTGTCCCATCAATCCTGCTCACCCTTTCAGCTGTAGAGGCATTATAATGTGAAGGTCAATCCCACTTTTTGTTGGTAAAAGAGTAGCCCAAGAGTTGGTGATGGGTACAGATAGTACTCTTGTAGCTTTGCAAGAAATTCAAACCAAAGTTAATGTCTTCTAATCTCCTCAGTTTTTTAAATGCATTTTTCTAAACTATTTTTACACCAAACTGCTTGTTGGTTTCAGGACCCCTAAATAAAATATGCATCAAAAAATTACAAAAGAAATTTCATCAATATTTCAATTAACCCCACTAATTACTGCTTTAGTTTCCTTTGTATTTTACAGAGAAAATGAGTGATTTCACTCAAATGTGTGAAGTCCATGTAAGGCAAAAAATAATAACAGAGGATACTAAATATGATGAAGGATGTAGATTCATACACTAATGAATAGCACAAAAACAGTTTGGTCATTTAAGAGTTAAGTTTCTTCAACAAGACATTGAACTGAATTTATTTTTCTTGTTATATTTTTAATACATTTAGATACTGGATTTATTGGACCCATATGGCAAAATGAGGTGCAAAAATATTCAATTTTTTTCTGTCTGTATATTTTTTCTGTGTTAAGATATAGTTCTCTCTCTGTCTTCTTTTTACATCCATATGTATTTGTGTGTTTTGAGCTCAAATAGGCTTATTTGTATATGTTATTTTCAGCTCACTTGTTTTGTGCTCAGGTAAGCATATTTGTGTATTGCATGTATACAGGCTTGTTTGTAGTATTTTTCACTATGGTAAGTTTATTGTTTTGCACTATGGCAAGTTTAGTTGTGTTATTTGGAACTGTTGTAAGCTTATTTATATTTATTTGCACTGTGGTAAGCTTATTTGTGTTTTTTTCACTGTGGTAACCTTATTTGTCTATTACATATATATACAGGCTTGTTTGTGTTATGTTGCACTGTGGTAGACTTATTTGAGTTATTTTGTACTGGGGTAAGTGTATTTGTGTTATTTGTACTGAAGTAATTTTATTTGTGTTATTTTGCAATGTGGTAAACTTATTACAATGGATTGTAAATATTGCATGTAGATATAAAGTTTTTGTGGTTTTTTTGTCCAGATGGATTTGTATACATTAGCAAATCTGTGTTTTGAAAATGGGTAGGGTTATGAATGAGTATGAAGTCCATGTAAGTTTTCCTCTGTGTATATACTTAAATATTCATTAGGTTTTATGGTCACACAATTCTGTACAAGGATCTGAAGTTGAGATGTAAGTACCCAGATAAGTAATGCAGGGTAGTTTTCCCTTTAATCGGTTTGTTATTTTTTGTGTTATGTGTATTTTGAATATAAGTATAAAGTATTGGGTTTAAGTTAAATATGTGCACATAAATCTTCCAGTCTTAAGAAAAAGTTTTAACTGAAGAAAGCATTCAGTATGCAAATTGTTTGTGTTACTGTAGTCAATAGATATTTATTTTTGTAATTTTGATTTAATAATTTTTCAAAACATTTTTAGCATACAGATCACATTCCATTGGGTTTCCTGAATGGACATAATGCACTTGTTGCTGGTAGCTACAAACATGCTCTAGGTGAGTCTCTTTATATCTGAAAACACTGAATGTATCAAATGAAAAGTGTTTTGGTAATCAAATATTAATTGATGTCATAGTCAGTAGCCTATATGATCACCTAATTCTAATTATTAACTAGTAAGTCTTTTTCTTTTTTTAAATAAATAACTAACTAGTTTTATCCTACATTTTAACTGCTAATCTGCTGTTCTTTTAAGGGAAGTCCCGAGAAGGACTATTTCTGTGTTGGTAGTGGTCAGTATTTGGTGGAAGTATGGTGTGTTATCCACTCAGTGGGAGTCTCATTCATTTGAAATTGAAGCCACTAACTTTTTGAATATTTTCAAGAGGGGTATCCAGATTTTGCTGACTTCTTTGCTAGGTAGACTGAGTGTGTTATCAGTTAGATGGATATAGAAGACTTCTTTGAACTTTCTTTTTCTTATATACGTTTCATAACCTATTGTTTTAGTGTTATTCCAATTTATTGTGTGATACCTTTTCTCTGGCATAATTTGCTGTAGCAGGTAGATTGGCATTGCAGAGTCATTTATGTCTATTAAGTTCCAGAATCCTAACTTTTGATGGTCTCTTTGTTTCTCCAATGTTTTGGAATTCACATTCATAGGGGATGTTGTAAATGGCATTTTTCCTCCCTTGTGTCTTTTGTAATTATCACACTTGGTTTTATGATCTCTACCAAGTGGGATGAGTTCTTAACCTAGGAGGATGTCTTATTGTTAATATTTATGTTATATCTACCAGATATTTAGCTAAGAGGCAGCATGGTGAATCTCTGCAATTAACTATAAGATGGAGAGGGTAGCCTTGTTTTTGAATTTTAGGTCAACCATAGATATGTTAGGTGGTTCTGTAGTGTACTGTTAGTTCTTTGATTGTTTATGTTTCAAAGCTCTTTCTTGAAGGGTTAGTTAATATTCTACTCTATATTAGAGGTTGGGTTAGGCTTGATCTTAGTATAGTTACCATCTTCAACTAGAGTTTGTACTTTGATGAAGTATTCCTCTTTGTCCATCATTACAGTGACATTCCCCTTTGTTTGCTGGAGGAATTGTTATATTTCTTTTTTTAAGTTTCTGAGTGCAGTTTTATTTTCTGACATGGAGTTAAATTTGATGGTTTTGTGGACTGCTGATTTAATATATATAGTCTGAGTTCTTCCGGTAGGCTGCACACTGTGTCTTCTGTGGCTGAAACTATATTTAAGGTGGGTATTTTGTTAAGTGTTAGGACAGTTTAATCCATTACTTTACACACTTTCTTTAGTTTCTGTTGATGGTTATTTAAGTTTATTTTGTTGTATTTGGGTGTATGTATAATGTTAGGAGGCTTCTTGTTTTGAGAATCACGAAGTGAAATTTGTCTTTTTATATGACTTACTTTAATGAGTGTGTTTATATAATGTTTGAATAGCTGTGCATGTTTTGATAAGAGTCAGTATTGTCTGTTGTATTATTTGTTTTTTTGATATATATCATTAATCTTATCATATATATTATTTTGTTTACTTATATGATGACATTTGATCCTATCTTGGAGCATGGATTTATTAATTTTCTGAGCCTTTGACATCATGAGATATTGATAGGTGATTCAAGTTCTTTTTGAAATGCATTACATTGTTTACATCTTTGTAGGAAGGTGGGGGGGTATTTATTTTAGCTAATTTACAGATAAATGTTTCTAAATACACAAATTCTTTACAAAGCTCTGGGCATATCAATTGTTGTCATGATTAATAGGATTTGATCACCTAAGTCTAATTATGAATTAGTAACTGATTGTTTTATTTTTATAATGATATACAAATTACAAACTAGTTTTATCCTATATTTCATATGCTAATCTGCTGCTGTTTTTATAGAAGTACCGCCAAGGACTATTTTTGTGTTGATAGTTTTGTTTTTACATACTGATTAACTATTATTCTGATATGGTACCATACCATCTCTCACATAATAGCTATTTTCATTCAGTGCTGCCCTTTTTTGCATGCCACAAGACTTGAAATTCACTGCATCTTTGCATGTAAATCATCATGTGACAACCCTCCACCAATAGGAGTGTGACACACCCTCCTGACACACATGACTCCATCTATTGGATTCTACCTAACCATCACTTCTCGTTAGGCAGTGGTCTTGTGCAGATGTTTCAGTTATCACAATTTTTTTATTTCTTTTCAAAGTAGTTCTTTCAAGGGAGTTTGAATTTTACATGTCTCCTCCTCCTCCTTTTCCCTACATTGTCTGGGATCCTCCTGTCTCTATAGTGCTAGTTCATGGTTAGGAGAATTTTGACAGTGTTTTTCCAATGCCTGTACCTCTCCTGTGGAATCAGCTAGGCCTACCTCAGCCTTTACAGATATGTTTTCTCAGGTTTGTTACATTTTTCTATATCAATAGTTTCATGTAATCTTTTCCCTGAAAGTTACATGCTGCTCCATCATCTGATTACCTTGTCTTCTCTCTTTTCCCGAATTTCGAGGACATGCTCTGCATTTAGTTTCCCAATTGAGGGCTGGTGCCAGCATGCCCTTTTGTCCACCACAGACTTTGTACATTATACATTGACATATTTTCAGGCACGTGATCCCTTTCTTGACTTCCAGCAGTTGGAGTTATTTTTGCCTTTGTGTGTGTGTGTGGTGAATTCTGTCCATTTATCCCAAACCAAATTTTCTTGCCTTCGTTTTCACCTTACATCTCCACTTTACACATATTTTTGTAACCTGTGGGTGGTACATTTTCTCCATAGCTTTCTTTTTAGAGATATTCCTGAACATTTGGAGTCATGTATGGAATCTACGAGATAACACTCATCCCTTTCTTCCTTGGTTGCTTGTTTGTGTCAGTCTACTCCCGTACCTTACTCTATACCTTTTTCCCATCCTTCACCCTCCCAGCCTTTTCCTGTTCCACTTCAATGGGGTTGGGTCCTAGAGGATGATGTTGCTTAAGGTATCTTGACAAGGGTTGTATGGGACATCCCACTAAAGTTGTCTTTGGATGGAGGCTAATCACACCAGTATCAATGTATAACCATGGCCAATAATGCATACCGTTGAGATAAGGTGTTCCACAAGATCACTAGCAGGTTTTCCTCACAGAATTTTGCTTCATCTACATATCCATTTTAAACCATACTAACCCATGGAATTTCATGGGTAAAGCAAAGCAGAAGGAGATTGCTGCCCATTCCTGCCATCCCTTTGATTGTATAAATCAGGGGAGGTCTGCTTTTCAAATAGAGTTTTTGTGGTCACCCATTGAACTGTTTCCAATGTTGGTGTTCCTCTGGACTCTTCACTGCATTTCTCCCCCAAAATTTCTTCTAGTGGAGTATGAGAGTCCTTGTCACTTTTTAGTTCCTAGCCATTGGGGTGGTGGATCATGGAGGCAACCTTCTGAATCTGCTCACTTCCCTTCAGTACAGAGTAGGGTGGTGGTGTTCTGCCAGTGTAGATGGCCAAGATCTTTCACTCCTGCACTCCACCTTCATGCAGTGGGTCCCGGCGGTTGATATTGTGCACATATGTGCTCCAGCTTCTATGCAATCCTATTTGGGAATGATGTTATGTACATATCACAATAATATATTCATGAATTTGAGTAGATCTGCAATGTTGCAGTTTACCCCTCCAATTGGGATTCCTCCTCCTACCATTGACTGGATGTTGGTTCCCAGTGAGTGATTTTGGATTAGGGCAGGACATAACTACTCATCCTACTTCAGTCAGGAGTTTTTGCCTCATGCACTCCACCTCCGTGCAGTGGGTCCTGGAGGTTGATGTTGCATGGATCTGGTTTGATTTACTCCAGCTCTGTGGTTGCTCAAGGTGTCAGCTGATTATCCATGTGCTCCACCTTCTGTGTGGTCCTATCCAGAGGATGATGTTGCATGTCCCTCTGGCACATTACCTCAGAGAGGTTCACTATCTGAAACAGATGTTGCGCAGAGTGGAACTAGTTCAAGTGGTTTTGGATTTGAAGTAAACTGCCACATTGGCAAATCTCTTTTATTACAAGTTACCTCTTTTACAGTGACTGTTCTAAAAACAAATCTTCCGTACTGTAAAGGCTGTAACTTGTAATAATATAATATTTCTGTGTTGATTGTGACTGAGATTTGATCCTGAATCTTTTTCATGGAAGTCTGGTACATTATCCTCTGGACCAGAGTTTCCTCCATTTACAAGTTGAATCAACTATCTATTTGATTGTTTACAAAAGGAGTATCCAGGTTTTGTTTATTTCTATATTAAGTTGACTGAGTGTGTTATCAGTTGGGTAGAAAAAGAAGGCTTCTTTTATCTTTCCTTTTTTCATGTGTGGTTCATATTCTATTACTTTAGTATTATTCCATTTATCTTATGGTCTTCTCTGTCTTGGTGAATTATTAAGTTAGATTGTTGTCACAGAATTTTGTGTGACTATTATGATTCTGAATTCTAATTTTAGTTTCTCCAATGTTTTGAAATCCACATTCACAAGGGATGCATTTTTGCTGTACATTGGGTTTTTTGGTTTTTGGTGTGTACTCACTGCAACTGTTTTGTGTTTTGTTTTCTGAATATTGTTCTATCTCTATGTTATTTACATATCCTCTGTATGTTTTCAAGAATATGGCTGTAATGTTTTTCCTATGTATATCTTCTTTATTTTCATTTTATCAAGTATTCTGAGTATACAATGATAAGGAGGGTTTTAGTGATGTGTTTTCCTTCTTTCTTCTTCAGGTTTTTTTGGTAGTACAAATCTTTTCATTCTGCAAACTAGGCAGTCTTTGATGTCTGTCTTTACACTGTTGGGATGGTTTGACTTACAGACAAGGTACTTACCTGTATATGTAGGTTTCATGTAAATTCTTGTGTCTTGATTGTCACCATGTCAAGGAATGAAGGTTCATTTTTTTTTCCACTGTGAATTGTTTTGTAGGATGTTCATATGGTTCTTGAGAAGACAACATCCCAATTAGATGATGCTCCAGATTTCCATCAAGAATACCCAGGAATACTTCTTCTTATGATTTCTCTCAAGATAATGGCAAACTAACATTCCAAACATGAGATAAAATTTTGATAATTAGTATCTAGTCAAAAAAATTAGGTACTTATTAACAATTAGATTTAATTGATTGTTTATGCTGCTAAACAACATCAGAAGCTAAATTATGGAAGCAACCTTGGTAAACCTGTAGTAGTTGTACAGCTACGAAATGACCAAGATCTTATTTTTATTATTTACCAGGTTACTACATGGCTGTTTATTAAGATCACATGAGAAAATAATACTAATTAATGGGACACATTAACGAGGGCAAACATTAATTATGTATGGCTCTTTATCAAGTGCTTATCATTATATATCTAAACAACAATATTGTCTTCATTCATCAGAGAAGAAAGATAAAAAAAAACATTTCACTTGTAGGTTATAAAAACCCACATGTTCCTGGAAACTAACTCATTAACCCTATATTGTCTTACTATTTTCTCCTGTTATTTTTTGCCCATACTTGGTTCTAATTATGCAGTAGCTTTGTAATTATCTGTTATAATGGCTATTATGTAATAATCTTCTAGAACCAAGAGTGCTTCATTTCATTTTTAATCATATTTTAGAATATTATACATGTTGAAAGGTTTTTAGTCTAAAGACATCATTTATAAATTGATAATTTACGTAAAAATGACCAAAACGTTCTTATTAAAGAGTTTACTTCAATGGAAAGTTTACAACATGACTAATTTTCCACTTTTAGCTTTTTATAAATAACTTATTTGAGAATTTTAAAATTAATTCTAGGGTATGAATTAACTTGTTTTATAGATAAAGAATTTAGGATAGGCTAACATTAAAAAAAATGAAATACTGACCCTTTCGTTTTTAAATGATCATTGTTTCAGGTGAGTACATGTGTGTCTTCAAACAACTCCCACAAGATGCATATGTTACTTTCTGTATTGGGCTGGTGTTTACTCATATGGCATGCCAGAAGTTTGCAACCAAGAGACATTCTCTTGTAGTCCAGGTATTAACTGAAGTTGCAGTATTTACTGATGAATGCTTTAAGTTATTCATACACCAATAAAAGAAATAATGATGTTGTGGTAATTGAAAGCTATAATTAATATAAATGCAATACAGACTGTTCAGTATTTATAAAACAGGACTACTTTTTGAAGATTATGAAAAAAAAGTAAAGCATCTAATTCTAAGATTTGCAGGTTTTGATTATAAGCATGAACTGTTTTTGCTGTTCAGTTTAGTTTAAACAGAGATTTGTTACAAAAATGATAATCTTAACCATAACTGAAATATATTTTTTGTGTTGTTTAGGTTAACTGATGTTTATTTCTGTATTTGCAAACGATGGGCTACTTCAAAGTTTAGTAATATTTAGCTCTTTTAAATATGAGGTGCATATATTTACTAACCAAGAGTTATACTCTTGTTGTCAAAGTTGATCAATTTTTTATGTTGAGTTTAAAATATTTATTTCTTACAAAGTACAAGTAATTGCTATAAGTAAATGGTAATCTTTGTATTCCAGACCATTGAGATTTATATTTTATAATCTAAATGACCAGTTTTTAGTGGTTAAATGTACTAAACTCATAGTAGAAACACAGTTAGATTATCAATATTCCCACTAACGCGAACTGTGAATTAACCATTTCAAGAATAATTATACATGTACTGCTGTTTGTTGTTACACTAGACATGAGGATGCCCAAGAAGGAAATATGTGTATATTTGTAATTACAGCTGTCTTTAACCACCTTCTTCCAGATATGTTGATGATAACCACCTTCTTCCAGATATGTTGATGATAACCACCTTCTTCCA